TTTGCATCCTCTCAAAGACCTCATCGTTGCTCACACGCTCAGTCCATGATATCCTTAGCATCCTTCTGTAGAACCACATCTCTGCTGCCTAGAGTCTCTTCTTCATTTTCGAGGAGGGTATTCTCGCCGTTTTTTAATTCAGTTTTCTCTCGGGGTTGTCTGTCGTTGTGATGTGAGTAGAAAAGGCGTTTGCAAAGAGAAATAAAATCAAACAAAAGATTAAACGCTTTATATCCGAACTTTTGAGGTGAGGAATTACCAAATACCGCCAAATTTTCATGCGTTTTCAAGTTTCATTTTCTGGCAAATCAGTTTTCTTAATTTAATGATTAAATAAGTTCTCCTTGTGAGACCCACGGCTAGAAAATAGCCGAAGAAATTACTCTACTGTATGGTTATATGTTCGAGTTTAAAAACTAACTAAATATTGCAATAACACTTATTAAGTATGAAGTAAGAGGGTACAAATGAAGAGATTAAAAACTGAGACGCTTTTCCATTTCACTGAAGCAGACATTAAACACATGTGAGTTTTATCATCTCCTCTATCTTATTTTTTTCCCTTCTTTTTTCTATTGTCTACGCTTTCTTTTTCTCTACTAAAATAAAACATCTCTGACATAATTTTTCCTTTTGCATTTCATAGCTATGAAAATGGAACAACCATTTTTTCTTTTCAATTAACCATGTCCAATGTGCCTTTAATGTCCAAAAGCATTCTCTATTAATTGCAGACTAATTTACATATTTAGGCTCGTGCTTGTCTTTGTTTTAGAAGTGTAAATAACAAGGAAGGCTACTTTATACACGTTGGGACTCTTTTTGTCCCAGGCAACGAAAGGTTAATTTGATTAAGCCATTAATACATAGGGCACTTATGATTTGTTCTGATAGCTTTCTCTGCGATGAAATTGATTTTATTAAGATGGCACTTTCAAAAAAAACGGATATCCTTTGGAAGTCTTGGACTCTGTTATCTGTGATGTCATCAATAAATTTCATAGGGTTAAGCCGCATTTTGTTGAATCTTTATCTACGATGAATTTCGCGTGCGATTAATAGCTGTTGTTTTTCGGCTAATGTTCGGGTAATATTTGTTACCCATCCTGTTTTCTCTTCCATTCATAATGACGTCCTCCCCATCATGTTAATTCAGTGATTTATCAATATAAGTGTAGTTGTGGACTCGATTACATAGTGAGGACGTCCCAATGTTTGGATCTGAGAATAAAACAACACTTACACGCCCCACCTCCCCCGGGATTTTGAATCCGGGTGCCAGGAAAAGCCAACTAACCAATACTTCGGGCTCTGCTATTGCAGAGCATGCAATAAATAGCAGGAATTGTGTGTTTGGTTTTAGTGTGGACCGTTTTTCGATTTTTTCTAGGGCCCACTCCTCATATCACCTCAAGGTTCTAGAGTCCTTATATATCAGATCCCGTGGGCCTTTCCTTTGTAAACAGAGGGAATGCTTACTTGGTCTGAATGTTATTCGACTCTAGTTTTCTTGAAATTCATATTTTTTCCTTCCATTCGTTATATTAATTTACACGCTTATATATATATATATATATATATATATATATATATATATATATATATATATATATATATATCCCAGAAAATAAACTTGATAAGGCTGGGACGAAACCGATTGTTCTTTTTTTAGCTTTTTAAAATGCCATATAAATTTTGCTTATTCCTAGCTATCGTTAAATAACAAGGCATTTCCAAAATCTTCATTAATCTAGAAAGATTCCATAATTTTTCCATACTACGAAAACTATACTATTAATTAAAATTCGCTGTAATAAAAAAAAAATACGCAGGTGTAGGCTTTAAGAAAGCTTTATTTTTGTGAGAATACAAGGTTTGTGTATAGTGTCTTTTTTATAGTCCCTGTAAAGAGAAATTGTTCTCTTAAAGAGGAGAATAACAAAACAAGAGGAGACCACTCTTGATTATTCATAACACACGCCATACTTTATTTTTCCTATTTTAATTTTCTGATGTATCCTAATATTTAATTCGAGTTCCATGACTACAAAATACCCTGGGAAATTACCTTATTGCATGATTAAGTATTTCACCTTAACGACTTTAACAGAATATAGCAATAATTTCATCAATATGAATACAACTGTCAATGGTATTTCATATACATTATATAGAGTTTTTTTTTTAACCTCGTCAGGACTCTTTCTACAGAAATGTCGCTTGAAAACCTCTTTAGATTTTTCAAGCCGTAAAAACGCTAATATCAACGCTAAGGAAACATTTTTTTTGGCTTTCTTTTTCTTCCTCGCTCCTGTCTGATATTCTTTCTTTCTTTCTTTTTTGTTTTCTTTCGGCAATTTTATTTCACTTAAATCCGTCTTGCACTTCGATAAATGTATCATTCGTCGGCGCATTGAATATTCTTCTCATATCTGGTCGGTTGCTTCTGCCATGTGTCTAGAGATTCTAGACAAAATCCAAAGAAGAATCTGCAATGTTATTGGTCGTCACCTGTCATCTTTTCATCAATTATCTTCTACATCCGCGTCCTGGGTATGGCGATAAACTACACCCGTGCCCTGGGTAAGACGTTAAACTACGTCCAACAGTAAGGTCTCTGATAATACGTTTTTGAAAAAATAATGTTGCTAGCTGTACGTTTTTGAAAAAATAATACTACCGGCCATACGTTTTGTTTTTTTGTTTTTTGAAAGAATAGTGTGTTACCAGCTATACGTTTTTTTTTTTTTAAATATTAAATAATATTACCAGCTATACGTTTTTGAGGACAAAAATATTAACAGAAATAGATTTTTGACAAAACAAAAACATTACCAAGAAAAAAAAAGTTGTCGGCATTAAATGACCCATTGAGGTTGATATGCCGTAAAACAAACCAAATTAATCTTCTGTTGAGCTTTCCTCTTTGGAACCTGGATTTCATGAATTCAAATGTAATACTTGGTTGTAAATTAGGTCTCATTCTTTTACTCTTGAAATTGTTAAATATGACTGGAAGTTCTAGTCTCATTATCATCCTTTTCCTCGCTATGGTTGTTCAGAACACCCTTTCCACATTGTTCGATCCTCCATTGCTGTCTACAAATTCCCAATGTTCAATGTGCGAGCTCTGGTGTCTGAGAAAGTCAATTTTTGTGAGAAGACACTTCAAGAAGGATGCCATAGGAGTAAGGGGGAGACGATTTCCCTAGGAGTTAAGATGAGACCGCTTGGTGGCAGTGACCGGAAATTCTATTCTGATAGTTTCTTCACTTGCTCTTTTTGCTTGTGGAATTCTCTTGTCTTCTTGATTTTCGTTCCCCTACAATCTACAAAAAATTAATTGTAATGTCAACCATTATCTTCCATCTTCATTTTTTTAAAAATCCTGTTCTTTTTTTTTTGTCCGATCACTTCAAGAACGTGCACTCAATTTCTTCACACAGTAATCTCATGCGTCTTAGTAGCATTCTTGCCTTTCTTAGAGAGAAATGATTTTAAATTATATTAGAACTGTCTATCTGTTAATGCTACCAGAGATGCCACCTGAAATCATTGTAATCACAGCATCAAACTGATCATTTAGCTTGTCTAAATAATGATTTTATTCTGTGGTTTATATTATGTTTGATTATTTCTATTCGATTCGTGGATAGGTAAATATTAGTCGTATATATTTGAGTGTATAAGTATTTTATTGGGATGTGGACGGGTAAATATTGGTCATATATATATATATATATATATATATATATATATATATATATATATATTTATATTATTTTAAGCGTTTCACCCCAAGCAAGGCGGGAAGCTACTAGCATGCAAGGGGTTACAGAGAGTTGGAGCGAGAGCAAATAACAATGATAGAGAAGGATAGGAGATAGATCAAGTCATCTGGAGACGTCGATTGACATTACATTTGAATAGTTGAAGATTATAACTATCAGGGAAAAAGGAAAAGGATAGGGAGCTCCACAGGCGAGAAGTGCGAGAGATGAAGCTATTGGAGTAGAAGAGACGGCTACATTTAATAGTTTCGACAGTGAAAGGGTGAGAGCGAGATGCCAGCCTAGTTGAGCGCTTAACTTCATGAAGTCTGGGAACCAGCAAAAGCAGCTCATCGGAGCAGTTACCGTGAACGTATTTGTAAAAAAGACAGAGGGGTGCGACGGCACGTCTGTGAGAGAGCGGCTGCAGACGAGATGCCAGATCAGGGCCAATTACATTGCATATACGTCTTTGGATTTTATCAAGAACCCCGAGACAAACAGAAGGGGCTCCCGACCATATATGGCAGCAATACTCCATGCAAGGGCGAATGGTTGATTTGTAGATTTGAAGGATTGACGAGAAAAATTTCCTGGCACGGCACAGGGAGCCAATTTCCTTGCGGTGGGCGAAGCTATTGACTGAATGTATTTCTTCCATTGGGGTCTGCAAGCATTTCATTGGCACGTTGATAGGTAAATATTGGTCACTTATATATGGGACTGCAAGCATTTCATTGGCACGTGGATAGGTAAATATTGGTCGCTTATATATGGGTCTACAAGCATTTTATTAGTTCCTGGATGGGTGTAAATATTAGTCGTATATATTTATGTTTACAACAAATTAATTGGTCGTGGACAGGTAAGTATTGATCGTTTATATTTGAGCCTACAAGCATTTCATTGGTCCGTGGACAGTTAAGTATTACTCGTTAATATTTAAGTTTGTAAGCATCTATTTGGCAGATGTTTCCTTTTGGTAACTGTTCAATGGTATTTCATGCACATCATATACCATTCTAGCCATTCTGAACATGGTCGGGACACTTTATGTAGCCATGATGCTTGAAAATCGCTTCTAATTTTATGTGCTTCAATATCGTAAAGCATCATGATCAAAGATTTCTGTGAAAGTTACCAGAGACGCTATTCGAAATCACTGTGATTTTAGCTTTTGACTGATAATTTTACTTGTCTCAGTAATAAATCCACTCAAATGTTTATATTATGCTTGATTATTTATTTTCAATGAGTTTGTCATCATGCCGGGGTAAGCGTTCGTTTCCTTTTTTTTTTTTTCCCGACAACTGCATCGATAAGCGATCAGATCAAGCGAAGTGCCACCATCTGGCCTTTCCACCTGGTTCCTTTTCTACATTTGTTATTCATTCTTTTGCAATGTCTCTCATTTCTCCAGCCCGACATTTCAAACGCATTTAATCTGGTGCAGCTTCTTTTCTAGTTTTTCCGTGGTTCTTTTGTCATTCGGCCGGCCTCTTGGCTTTATTTGGTCTTGTACTACTTGTCTATTCGTTCCTGTTCCTCTCCCACCTCGCACGAACCCTCGACGCCAAGTTCTGGCTTTACAAGTGATTTGTCCTTTCTCTGCCCACCGAGCCAAATCCCCTCCTCGACGTTTTTTTTCTTTTTTTTTTCTTTTTTCCGCGCGACCGGACGAACGAAGAGCTTAGTAAAATTGAAGCAAAGGTAATTCATTGTTATCCCCAATACCAACACCCGTCAAACCGATAGTCTTTCTTTCATTCTTTTTTCTTTCTTTCTTTTTTTCTTTGAAAATGTATTTCTCTTTTTTCGTCTCTCTTTCTCCCTTCTTTTCTTTCTTTCTCTTTTCCTTTCTTTTTTCTCCATTCCTTCTTTTCTTTCTTTGAAAATTTATTTCTCTTTTTTTGTCTGTCTTTCTCCTTTCCTTTCCTTTTCTTTCTTTCTTTCTTTCTTTCTTTCTTTCTTTCTTTCTTTCTTTGAAAATGTATTTCTCTTTTTTCGTCTGTCTTTCTCTTTTCCTTCCTTCCTTTCTTTCTCCCTTCCTTCCTTTCTTTCTTTGAAAATTTATTTATCTTTTTTTTCGTCTGCCTTTCTTCTTTCCTTTTCTTTCTTTCTTTCTTTCTTTCTTTCTTTCTTTCTTTATTTTTCCACCTTCTTTCCTTCTCTTGTGCATGTATTTTCTTCTTTTTCTTTTTTTTACTTTCATATTCTTTACATCCTTTTCCTCTTCCCTACTCTTTCTGCTATTCTTCTCCTTCTTTCTTTTTTTTCTTGTTTCTTTCTTTCATTCTTTCTTTTCCTTCTTTTCTTTTGTTTTTTTTTTCTGTGTTACTTGGATTTATCTTCTTTTTTTAAGTTTTCCCTTCTTTCTTTCTTTCTTTCTTTCTTTCTTTCTTTCTTTCTTTCTTAACCTTTTTAGAAAAAGATGCTTGCCTTCATCAGACCACGTGATATGTCATGTGGTCTTAAGAGGATTGTCTTTTAGTCGCCTGAGACTGTCGGAACATGCTGCGTCCTTTCTGAGGGTCTCTTCTTCCAATCCATAGTATCAAGACGCCAACCATGATTTAGCGGAAACAAGAACGGAGGTAGGGGAGTAAACAAGACAGGAGTAAGAAAAGGAGGAAGAAAGAAATAGAAAAGGAAGAAAAAAAAAACAGAAGCAAAGAATGGCATGTCTGTGTGAGACGGATGACAGAGACGCGCCTTGCCCAGAAGGCCAAGTGAAGCTTTGTGTTTTCTTTTGAAGCACCCATAGAGATTCAGGATGGACACGTTAGTATTTCAGTAAACGGATTAGAACTGACATTTTTCATCGAGGAGTTCTGCTTCATCGAATCTGCAAATGCAATTGATTTTAATCGGATCACTCAACTATTCACTTACTGATATTTGTGGCATCCCATCACTTATCGATTTCGGTGGTTTGATTCGGCAAAACCTTTTCCGGTATCTCTGCTCGCAGTTTATTTAAAATAGTTACTACGCATAACAGGAAAATTTGCTGAGAAACAAGTTCAAAATTGCTATATGATATGAGTTGCCTGATACGTCAGTGAACGCTGAACAATTTTCTCACAGATGAAGCCGAGACAAAAATGTGATTCTACAGAAGGATGCTGAGAATGACATGAACGGAGAATATGACCAACGAGAAGCTTTTTAAGGAAAATAGAAGCAAAAAAATAAATTTGTACTTAGAATCCGAAAGTGGGAATGGAAATTTCTGGGAGGGCATAATGTGGAAAGAGGGCTTGGAAAATTAGACACTCAAAGGGCAAGACGATGAAAAGATGGACAAAAGAAAACAGCGAATAACCTAGCCGATATGCGTGTGTAAATAGCTAGCAGAACAGAGAGTGGGGGGGTATAGTAATAATACAAACACTGCTAAGAGCGACAAAGTATGGGAAGTTGTGGAGAGTTATGATCGTCCACGTCCTGAAGGAACACTGCGTATAAAAAAGTTATATCTCATTTCATTGTAAAAATAGGAACTCAATTTAATATTATCAAGTTCTTTTAAGTTTTTTAAATGGAGCATTTTGCTTAAATGCATTATTTGTTTTTTTTTCTTTCTTTTCTTCTTTCATTTTTGCTGCTTTAACTTTCTACAAGAATGAAGCATGTATCTGAAATTTAAAAAAAACATTCTTCGGCGATATTTGAACTTGTTCCCTGCATCCTTGGAAGCAAGCATAGCCTAACATGGACAACGATCTTACCGAATTGACCATAGCTAACAACAGGCAATATATATATATATATATATATATATATATATATATATATATATATATATATATATATATATATATATATATATATATATATATGTTATAATTTTATCATATAGATACTCACTACAAAGATGCAACTTGGTTTCAGTGCATTTCAACTGCACTTCAACAGGTGAGAATCGAAAATAGTTTATCCTGCTGGTAGGCAAGCCGTATGTGAAACGTCACTTCCTTTTTTCCATTTGTTTGAGAAGAAAAACATACAGAAAAAAAATGGTGACGGAGTGAAACAATAGTGCTGGTTGATAGCAGTTTGGGAAAGAATGGATTGGGTGTTTAATGGTGACTGGTCTTTTTTTTTCCCGATAAACACCGGTCAAAAGTTTAGGCACATCATCTCACAAGCGTCCTAAGAGTGAGAGGTAGGGCAGGAAAGATGGAGATAGTATTTTGGATTAATGGTGTGAACGTTGGATTTTATATATTACTTTCGTTCTCATCGCATCGGATATACATATATATATATATATATATATATATATATATATATATATATTGTATTTAGGCAGCAATCTTTTCGTCATGCAAGTTTCATTAAATATGACAGACAAGGTGGTTTGATTAAGTTCTTTTTTTATAAAATTTCTCATGTGATCTTATAATTTTTTTTTCTTTTCTGTAGATAAGTTATATAAAAAACTATTCTAATGTTGTTTTATTCCGAGCAATTTCAGCTATAAATTTAGCCATTTTTGAGCTTGAAATATATTAACTGTTAACTAGAAATAGATTGTTGTATGTATGTATTTATATAATGTTTTCATTTTCAAAACACGGTCAAGATATGGTGTCCATGTTCAAAGTTGATATTATTGAGTGTTGTTTTTATTAATAAGGCTTCCATTATTTTAGGCCTTTTTACATGTAGACGATGCTATTATATCTGTGTTGTCAACAAGTATGTTACGAATAGGGTCTAGAAGGTCCCCATGAGCATTTAAGTGAGACCTAATTGAGCTATGGTCAGAAAGATGTAGTATGAGTCTTCTTGTCAAACATGTTGTAGTGTGGCCTATGTAATTATTTACGAATTTTGATTGATCAGGAACACAATTCCTAAATGGACATTTAATTTCGTAAGTAATATTTCTTCGATTTAATTTTGATCTAAGAGGGGAAATTTTATTTTTAAATATAAGGATGGCGGTTTTAAATTTTTTGTAATAAATAATTAGTCTAATTTTTTGCTCTTGTCTACTGGCTTTGTGCATTTTTTATAATATTCTTAATTCTGCTTTCATCCTGTTTATAATTTTCATCTTGTCTGTCATATTTAATGAAAGTTGCACACACACACACACACACACACACACACACATATATATATATATATATATATATGAAATTTTCTGCCATGAACGTTCACATATTCAAGAATATATATTTAGAATAATAAGAAGAATCAAGAATCTATACTGGCAGCAAGCCGCCTGTATACGGACAGAAAATGAGTTCAGCAGATATCCAAAAATAGAAATTTTATTCAACCTATACTGCGAGGTAATTCTGAGAGAGCTGGAGACCCTACCAGGATTCATCATTGGCGGCCACAATCTTACCAATATAAGATATGCAGATGACACGGTGCTGATAGCAGACGCGGAAAGGAAACTACAAAATCTCCTACAGAAGGTAGCAAAGGAGAGTGAGAAGAAGGGACTAAGCATAAACTACAAGAAGACAGAATGCATGGTCATCAGCAAAAGGGTGAACCCAAAATGCAAATTACAGGTTGGGGACAGTAAAATCAAGAAATTTAGATATCTGGGAAGTGTTCTAACAGAGATTGAGATCCGAAGACCAATAGGGATGACCAAAGATGCCGTTAAGAGATACGAAAAGAAACAAATCCTGAACCTTTACGTGATATCTGTACTCGTGTATGGAAGCGAATGTTGGACAATCTCCTGAAAGATGAGGAAGAGACATGAAGCAACACAAATGTTGTTCTACGGAATATTGCTGAGGATACCATGGCCCGAACATGTGAGCAACGACGAGGTTTTGGAGTAAATAGAAACAAAAAAGAACATTATTCTTATCAAGAAGATGCAATTGAGGTTTCTGTGGTACGTAATGAGGGAAGTGGGCCTGCAAAATCTGTTACTCATGGGGACGGATAGAGTGAGAGAGGGACAGGGGAAAGTCGCAGAAAATATACCTGATGATCTTAATGAATAGCAGAATAGAGTTTGGGAGAAATAACAAAAAGACAAAACTTATTAAGAGGAACAAGGTACAGGAAGATGTGAAGAACCATGATCGACAACATCTTGAATTCACAAGGCAAATAAAAGAATAATATATATATATATATATATATATATATATATATATATATATATATATATAAAAAGATTTGAGTTTACTCAGATAATATAGTTTGTACAGGGAGTCCTCTACAAACTCTACATAACAACTAATCCTGTCAAGCTATTAGGTCAAAATCCAATTTCTTACATGAATGCAACACATGAGGATGTGCTTGCCTTCTCTAAAAAAACAACCTTCTCACGAACAATGAATCTCACTTCTTTGTTTACTTCTCGTCTCCTTGAAAAAGGACACAGGCGTGTCCGAAAATTCCGACTTTAAAATCTTTCCCTTCGTGCTTCAATTTGGTCAAAATGATTCTATATAATAAATAGCATCAATCTTATTGCCAATATTGTTATCATTTTGTTGGATTTTTATTAACTGGCTTATAAAATCTACAAACACACACACAAACACAAATACACACACAAATGCATATTTCCAAACAGGTTTGGTTAAATAATTTAGACATATCATATCGATTAGTTTTCGTTGTGATCCTTTCAAGTTCCCGGACTAATTTCTTAGTAGCCTTAGAAAATTACGGAAATTTTCTTTTAAATATTTTTTATTTCCTCAATCACTTTCAATCTCATCAGAGACCATCCTCCGGGAGTTAAGTTGTCTGTGAGTATGTATATATGTTTCTGTAAATTCAAAACATTTCAACTGTTCGTTTTTACTACTTATGCAGCTTTCTAGATTTCAAAGTTCAGGTGATTTTTAGTCTTTTTTTTCTTCTCCCCAGTATAAGACTTAACTTACATTTCACTTTGGTACAATATAAAACACATTCCGTACGGCATAATCCATATAAAGGACTTGTTATTTTTTGTCCTGTAATTACATAAGGTCATATTTTCAAGTAAATTATTCAACGAATCATACCTCAATGAAAACATGTTGCCAAAATATACGCATATATATATATATATATATATATATATATATTCGCAAATTGTAACAAATTTGTTATAAAATCATTACAAAAATAGCCATTTTGTTTCAACACTTCTGGTGTCTTATTAAGTGATGGTGTTGAATGTAAACGCCATCACTTGATAAGGCACCAGAAGTGTTGAAACAAAATGGTTATTTCTGTAGTGATTTTATAACATATTTATGTTATAATTTTTTAATAAATAATTATATTTGCTCATCTCTGTATTGAGCACTCTTTTAAAAATAATATTTTCGGTTATTGTAATTTATTCCGTATAAATTTGTATATACTTGTATATATATATATATATATATATATATATATATATATATATATATATATGTATGTATG